TCCATAACCTCCTTACATTTAAAAAGCATGAGCATTTTGGTAGTTGTAGGTAAACAAACACCTACAGTTCTTTTTACACCATTTCTTTGACTACTTAGGTGTAAGAGTAGGTTGATACCTAGTGCCAACTGATTCTGTGCAGGAGCCATTTGCTGGCCCAATTGGTAGAACAGTAGGCAGGATATAATATTAATTATAAAATTGCCATAACTTATCAGGAGAAACCAGAAGTCTTCTGAATTCAGACAGCTGCTAATTAATTTGCCCTTGTCAACTCTAAGAAATAATAAAGCAAAGCAAAGAATTAGGATAATCTGAGACAAATATGATGAAAACAGTTTATGCTTCATTCGCATCTTTTCAAGAAATGTTACACCAAAAATAAATAATATAAATTGAGGAGTGATTTATCCAGCATTAATTAGGAGTATTAGAAGCTGGCCAATATGACTTTAATATCTTAAGGATAATGTATATTTTTAGGCCCATCAATAAGAGTCAAAATTTTGTTAGGAACATTGGATATTTGAGAATTTCTGTGTTCCTGACATAACATGGATAAATGACCCGGACATATTCTGTTAGCTATGCCTATTTCTTGGTAACTGCTTGCTAGAAATGTTATTTGTAGCTCTATTACTAATGTCAGCTCACGTTCACATTTGAAGTAAAAGCAAGTGATAGCAGCTTGATCATTTGTGATTGAGATGATCAGAGTGATGTTTAAAAGTGTTTATATGTGTGAGTGTGTATGTGCACGTATAATGTATGTGTGGGGAAATTAATGTGATGCTGAGTCCTTCTTCAAAATATCATATATTCCAATTACTTGTGAAGGAAAACAAAGTATTTTTACCATCAAAGATGAGAGACGTGTGCCCATCTAATTTCTTGCTTACTTTCTTTTACATCTCTGAGATTCCTATTATCCCCTGCCTCCAGCCCACAATGGAAATTACAAAGGTGAGAGTCTCAGGGGTCCCCACATAGCACCTATTACTTCTCCTTTCAAGTTCAGAACCAATTGTGAATTAAAAGCCAAGAGACAGACAGAGATCTAAAATCAGCCTCCTCACTGATAAAGCCAACTAGAGAATATGGCGGGTGATGTGTGGAGAAAGGGCTTGCTCACAGGCTGTCCTGGGTTCTGTGGATTCATCCCATCAGGTGTGGATGGCTACTTGTATGGGCAGACAGAGAACCAGTTGTGGGCAGGTCCTAAGTGCAGGCAGATAGAGAAGAGAAAGAACCAACTCGGTGCTCTTCACAGGCAGACTGGCATTCAGGAAGGCAGCAGAAATGCTGGACCCTGGATCTGTTTCCTCCCCTAATGCATTTATTAGAAAAAGCTGCTGACAGGGCCAGATTTCAAACACTGCAACAAATACCTGAGCCAATCAGTTTATGAAGAGAAAAGGTTTGTCTGGGCTCACCCCTTAAAAGTTGCCATCCATCATCTTGTGGCTCTATTGCTTTGGGCCTGTGCTAGCACGTGATGGTAGCAATGTGTGTCGCAGCCAAATTGCTCACCTCATAGCTAGAAAACAAAAGAAAGAGGAAGGTGGCTGGCGCCTCACAACCCCCTTCAAGGACATGGCCCTGGTAAAGGAAGAGCTCCTATCAGGCTCCACCAATGGGGCATCAAACCTGGAATTAAGCTGTAACACATGGGCCTTTGAGCATGTTTCAGATCTAAATTACAGCACACACCATGTGATGCTGAGGGAGGCAGGACAGGCAGGAAGGGCCAGGGAGGGATGTTTCCTCAAGTGCTTCCTCATGGAATCAGGAAAATCGGGGAATAAATGTTCCTCCATCACAGCTAGAAGAGCACGTTAATCCCTTGAACCACAAAATACAGTGAGCCACATGATTGACGCAGGGACTTAGTTCTGCAGTTAGCATGTATACCCCAGGTAGGATATGTTCTTGTTGTCTAAGACAGTCCTGTCTGTGTCTCTGTCCTGGGCTGGATGATAAATCATATGGCGTTCATATGTGTCCAGGAGTAAAGAAGTGAGCAGACTGAGTCTCTTAGGAAAGCCTGACAGTAAACTCATTCCTGTGTTTGTCTTGGAGTCTGAGATTGTCTTCCAGCCTACTCACTTGATGGAAATTCGCTTTAGTGGGGATTGAAATTGTTGGTCACTGTGAACATGTATGGCAGTGTCTGCGGGGGTGGGAAAGTTCCTCTCCCAGGTGACGGGCACAGCCTTTCTAGGCTGTAGGTAGTGGTCTTCTGCACCAGATGTTTTTCATCTCAGAGACATTAACTTGAAATGAGTTTCTTCCCTTTCCACGACCACAGCTGCAGCATTTATTGACAGGTTGTGTCTTTTATGACATAGAGATTATGATGGTATTAAGTCTCCAGAAAGCAAAGCTTTCCTGGGGGATGCAAAACACAAGAAACAACAGAGAAACAGGTAGGGATAGAACCTCAGAATACTCTAGGAGAAGTGGTATTTATAGCAGGATATAGAAAGTGATTCTAGCCCTGCAGCCTGGGAAGAAATGGCTGTGTGACTGGAATCCAAGGCAAACTATTTGCCTGCTCTCTTGTTTGAAGCTACAACAGGGCAAATTATTATCAGCAAGACTGCACATGCTCAAATAGATTGCCCCTGGTGTCTAGAAGAAAAATTTAAAAGTCTATTAAAAGTATTCTGATTCAAGGTCAGGATTTGAGTTTTTTTCTATTAATTGATGAAAATTTGCCAGGCTCTGTCAGAAACCATTTCTTTATCAGGGCTCCAAACTAAAAGAGGTGTTAACTGGTAGCTGGCTACTATTCTTAGTAATCCCCTCTCCGCCTGCTGTGCTGACATGCTAATTTCTTACTCAGCATTTGAAAACTACTTTGACTGCAATTAAAAGTTCTGTGCGAGGTGTTCTATAGGGGACTGAGGTAAAAATTAGCTGCTTGCCTTCTACACATTTCATCGGAATATGTGACACTGAACTGCACAGAGGAAGTAAGAATAAAGAGTTGAGGTATCAGTGAATTCTTTTGCACATAATTATAAACTGTGAGATTCTGAAGGACTCTTAAAAATAGTTCATTTCAAAACCTCATTTTACTGATGAAGGTTTTGAGGATGAGAGACCCAAGGTATGAGTATTGACTGGGGCAGGGAAGGGGGCAGTGTGAGGACCAGGAAGTGGAAGATTATTCGCTGTATTCAAAATGAGTGGAAATTGATTATGGTTCAAGCAGAGGGCTTGAGAGAAAGAGGGTGGGGAAAGGTGAGTTTGCAGAGATGTAGGATCCTAACTGGGAATATAGAAAGGTGTGTAAGCAGGCTACGGATTTGGGAGTTTCCATAATTGCATGACAGGGCAGGAAGGAGAGAAAGATGAATGCTGTCAAAGGAGGCATGCAGAGGGCTCCTGAACACCCAGCTTTCTCCTGGCTTTATATGCCTTTAATGACATCAAATTTTCTTTAAAAGGAATGGATCTGGCCAGGGTGTAGCTCAGTAGTAGAGTGTGCTCAGCACCTGCAAAGCCCTGGGTTCCAGCCTTAAAAAAAGGAGAGCTGGAAAGCCAGAGACTTATCATTTCTACAAAGCCTGTGAGGAAGCCAAAGAGCAGAACCAAGGCCCACAGCATGTGTAGAGCATGGAGGGGAGGTGAAAGTTGTCACACACACACCCGGGGGTACACCAGTGTGGGAAACAAAGCCCCTGAGTAAACACACAGCACTCAGAACCGCTGGTACTTGTCAGTACAGAGAACCTAAGTTTCCAGTCACAAAAATAAACAGATAACCAAGGAACAGTAGATCTTCAAGGAAGGCCAACAGTATGGGGAGAAAAAAAGATGATGCAAAACACAAGAATGATCCAATCCCAGAGAAAATGGAAATGATCAGTGAATAAAATAAACTGTGAAAAAAAGGATTCACTGTATGCCAGGGAGTCTTGTAGGATTTTTTTTTTTTTGTAAATTAACTCATTCAGTTTGCAACAACTGTAAGAGATAGGAACTATTATTAATCTGAATTTTAAAATAAGGGAAGGAGGAACAGAGAGGTTAAGCAATTTGTCTGAAGTCATACAGTATGAAAGTGGAGAGGACCAGAACATAGGGACTATGTAATTTCCACGGAAGGCAGGCAGTTGTCAGCTTTGAGAATGAAAGGGTGCCATAAGCCCTGTGCAGAATGAGTGACACAAGACCACAGTGGTAAATGGCCTAGTGACAGCACAAGTGTTCAGAGAAGAGAGACATGGCTCATCCACCAAGAACTGGGGTCACTGTGCCATTAGATTTCTCTCTGGTGAGGACAGCAGAAGCCTTTTCCACAAGGGTCTGATTGGCCGGCTGAACTCACACGCTTTATTCCCTCCTTGCAAAGGGTAGTGGTGTGGGGTAGAGCATGGTTTCCAGACTTGACTTCAACAGGTAAGTTTATGGGAGAAACCAACAATTTTAGACATACAGGAATTCAGAATTTACTATACCCTAACATCTAGGAAAGAACTAATTAATCATAGATAGCATCAAAATTAAAATAAACCTAACAAATCACACACACACAAAACCCTGAGGAGTAGGCTGAGGAGCTAAGAAATGCCCAAAGTTTAAGCTATTATTGGTGAATAATATAAAAAAAAAAATAGCCATTTAGACCTAAAACTAAAAGGAGTGGCACGGGGAGGGTAATTCTGACAGAAGGTTGCTTCTTATTTCTGAAGAGAATATTGAAGTACAGAAATGATAGATGTTTAAAGAATAAATATGTTCAACCTGGTTTAATTATTACACACTATGTACACGTATCAAAACGTTATCTGTGTCCTCTTATAATTCAGATCTAAAATAGCTCCTAAAGTCTCATGTGTCTGGAAGGTGACTGGATCATGGGGGAACTGCACTGATGAGTTCGGTAGGTGAACGCGTTGTTAGAAGGCAGGAACTGGTTGGAAGGGGCAGGTCCCCAGGGCTGCGGACTGGAAGGGTGGAAACTCTTCCCTTCTTTCTCTGTTTCCTGGTAGCCATACCGAAAGCAGCTTTCCTCTGCTATGTGCTTCCAGAATGCTGCTTTTGTCTTGGAGCTGGCTGACTGTGGACTGAACTCGTTCAAATGGTAAGCCAAAAGAAGCCCCTCCTTTGCATCAGGTGTTCTGTCCCAGCAACAGGTGGGCTGACTAACATACTTCCCCATTAATATGTTCAATTTTTATATATCAATTAAAGAGTAAACCAAGAAAATTATTATGATTCATAATTTCTAAATCTTTAGAGAGATAAATGGAACAAGAAAAATGGATCAACCCAGCCAAACACAGGGAATAAAATAAAAACGTTAAAATAAAGAAATAAGCAGAACTGTCAAGAATGAGTATATATAGAAAATAGAACAAAATGGCACAACTAAGTTCAAATAATCCTTAGTTCAAATAATCTTTAATCCTTAATTGTTAGTCCTGACTAAGGTAAATGTGTTAAATTCTGTTTTTGGGATGTGTACTTGTAGAACTGTCAAGAATGAGTATACACAGAAAATGAAAAAAAATGGCACAACTAAGTTCAAATAATCCTAAATTCAAATAACCCTTAATTGTTAATCCTGACTAACATAAATGAGTTAAATTCTGCTCTTGGAATGCCTACTTGTAGAAAACAAAAAAATCAAAACCCACAAAACTCTGTAACAGAGGAAGTTTGAAAAATAATAATCCTTTTTTCCTCAGATACATGATACTCCAATATCATGAACAAATATAATTGCAGTAGTCTTAAACATATTAATGAGTTGCATTTTAATTTGTTAAAATAACTTATTAAAAGGTAAATAATGATGGTGTATTTAATTTAGAAATGCATGGACTCTCAAAACTAGGAAATGCATTATCATCACTTATAACAAACAGATTAAAGAAAACACATTCAAATATTAGTTATATTCTCAATTGATTTATAGAAATTCTCTATATATTTTGAATATTTACCCCCTCTGATATTTATATTGCAACTATTTTTTCTTTTTAATAATATTTAAATTTAGAATGTTATTGTTTCAATTCTACAAATACTACCAATACAGTTATTTTATGTTCTGAGTTATATCTTATTGAAGATGGGTTTTCCTTCTGTCATGTTTAAAAAATACTTCTCCTGTATTTTCTTCTACAACTTTTATAATTTGTTTGGCTACATTGCCATTTGTAATAGCAATAAACTGCGAACAAACTTAATGCTTCTGATAAAATCATGATGCCTTTGTACAGAGGGAGACTCAGCATAAATAACCAAAGTTATAGGAAATGATGTGGAAAGAGCTCCAAGATATGATATATAGAAAAAGCAAATTACAGAATAAAATGTGATGATTATGTTAATGTAAAGAGAAGTCTGTATGGGTTACAAATGCACAAAGAATGCCTACAATAGGTACATACTATGCGTATCAAACAGTGCTTACTTCTGGGAAGGAGAATTAAACTGTAGCTTTTACTCTGAATACTTGGTACTATTTGAATCACGAAGACAGTGTTAGAGTAAAGCATGTAAAAGACAGAAATATAAGGGGAGCATGCTGCAGGAATCACATGAGCCCTGTTTTTAACCATCAGACTTGTTGGGGTTGCTGTTGTCAGGCTACAGACCTGGGCCACCAGGAGGAGAGGGTAGCACCACCCCGACTGCTTCTAGAACCATGGAACCTCAGGCCACCTGGGAGTGAGCATCAGCAGGGACCTCATCGTCAGCTGGATGGCCACACAGACCTGGGTTTCCATCTTGACTTCAGCTTCTCAGTATGGTTTTCTATCTGTAGGAGACGGACGGCAATGCACACTTACTGGGTGTATGTGAATCATTTTAACATGAGTGCCTCGTTACCTTCTCTGATTTGGGATCATAAAATGGAGGCTGCTAATGTTCTTTATGATTCTGATATGTTATGGGCCTTTTGGAGCAGCGGAAAGTTGGAGTGCTTTTGTAGTCATTTCCTTCAGGCATGGGAAGAGCATTTACAATGGTAGCTTTGCACTGTGGCCTGCCAGATTAGATTAATTATTTGCAGGGATTAAAATGGATTTTAATTATAGGCTCAAATAAGATCCTGGTGTGATTCATCCAAGTTAATGTTAAGACTTTATTTTTTTCTAATGATTTTGATAGAAAGAGGGGAAGGCTATTCCTGAAACATGAAAAAAAAGCATAAATAACCACAGCTGGTTTAATTATAACTAGAAAGAGATCAGAGGAAAGAAAAAAGATGAGGTATACAATTCCATGATATGCTAATTAGAAATTTTCATATATGTTGGTTTGCAAAATACTACTGAATCCATGTCAGGTATTTTTTAAGGACCTTAAAGGGAAAATTTGCACTATTTTACTTTCTCTGAAGATAGTAACTTTCCAAGCCACACCAGTCAGAGTGAAAACATGACTTTCTGCAATCACAGTTGAAGGGACAGCGCTGATTAAGGGCTCCACAGGAAGAGGACATGTACGGAATTGTAATAGAAAGGTGACAGAGATTCAATCCATGTGCCATTGACTTTGGCAATTATCAATAGCAGGTGACAGGGTCATGGTGGAGAGAAAAGAAGAGTCACCTTGTCACATTCCACCATATTTGCTTATTCCTCTGGTTTAATCCTCACTTAATATCATTTTGTATTGTAGTTGTCTGCCTGTTTACCACTCTGATATGATTTTAAGCTGTGTGAATGCATAAAGTAGATGCATTCAGTGATGCATTTTCATCAGTTCACCCTGCAAATTTGCATAATACTTTCATAATGAATCCTAGTTGAATTGAGTTTTCAAATATCTGGTCACACTGATTTCTTCTATAATTGTAGTTTAAATATTTGGGAGAGGTATAGACAGAATGTAGTGTGGGCTCTGGTGGAAACTGACCATTAGATCTCTTGAGTGACATTTAGCACCTGGCAGAATTATATGAGCGCATTTCTCGTTAGATATCATAGTTGGAGAGTGGTGCCCAGACCAGACTGAGTTTTAGAAACCCCAAAGGGAGAGGAATCAAATGTGTGGAAACGGAGGTAGCTGATTTTAATTTTGAGCACCTCTTGTTGTCAGTAAGTCTTTCTTTCCGTCTAACTCCAGTCCCAAGATGCATCTTAATCCTCCTTAACCCACCTACCTCTTTCTCGTGGGAGAGGTGGGCTTTAGTCACTGCGCTACACTGTGTAGGAGAACCATTTAAGCTCTTTACAGTGAAGCACTTCATAAGGCTCAGGCCTCCTCACTTATTGGTCTGTTTTTCCCATTAACTGGTCAGCTGCGGAGTTAGAGCCATCCACGCAGATTACATTTTGAAGCCCGGTCATCAGTAGGAGCCTGATTAATTTCTGTAGCCATGATATTAGTCCAAAGGCAGAGTGTTTCAGTTTGGTAAAATACGTTCAACTGCCTCCTTCATTTGGACTGATTGATGGTGTTTGAACAGAAGGCTTTTCTTGTGGCCTGAGATTAATGGAAATTTCATTTCAGATGCTCCCACTGAAGGCATAAGCATCGCTAGACCCATGCAAGGAGTGAAAAGATCAGGTTTCTTCTTTCCTAACTGTTCTTAACAGCTTTTTCAGAATCTTGGTTTCCTCCTGCTCTCAGCTAGCAAGGAGAGCTGGTGACAAGATGCTGACTTTGAATTGGGGGAAGGGAGTGAAGGCTGCTTCCATTCCTTCCCAGTCAATGCATTAATAAGCAGCTCAGAAAATAACATGTCAACTCAGATTTCCTCTCTCTGCGGTGAATAACATTTTACAGTACTTTGGAGGTGCTCACAACTGCAGTGCATTATTCGTGACTGGTCTCTACTTCCCTACACAGATCCATTTCCTCTTTCTTTCCCTAAGCCCAAGTCAAAATGTATTCTGCCTGCCTAAGTATTTTTTTCTAAAGGAGAAATCAAACCTTTGTCCTGTGTTTCAGCTATGCAATGCTTGTGCTGTTGTAACTTTTGGGACTGATTTGATTTAAAAGTTGAGATAATGCAATGAAAATGACCTTCACTCTAATTTTTTTAACAACAAGTCACCTAATGGCTAAGTTATCTTCTAGTATTAAGTAGCTATTTAAATGTCAATGTGGGTAAATTTCAGTTGCATGTCACTAGTGCTGAACTCAGAAGTATTGAGAGGGATCAATATTACTTCAGTCAAAAATAAAGCTTGAAATGCGATTTGAGGTCAAAGTGTAATAATCATAGTTATAACTTAGTAAGTAATCATGAATAAGACACTTACTAATTACCTTTGTATTTGATCTCAATTAACCCCAGACACAATCTGAAGGGGTTGCTGCTACTACTACTACTATTTTATTAACACTATTTTTTAGTTGAAGTGGCCCTAGAGTTTGTAGAATTTATTCCAGAGTTTAATAACACAAGGTTACCTGGCCAGAAGACAAAGAAAATTGGACTTGAACTTGCTGCAGATGAATGCAGTTAGCAGCTAGTTATGTTTCCAGGTGGGCTGTATGGTTGAAATACATTCTTGTTGTTTGGTAGCTGGTTGACAGCTTCTGGGATGCTGCTTTCTTAACAGAGGTTATTAGCAATAGGATCATCTCATTTTAACATTGTTTTCATCTCCGTTCTAGAATCTGTGCAAATCCATGTATCTCAGTTGATGGGTAAGGTATTGTTTTAGCAGAAAAGAACTTGTGTCAACTCATGGAAGAGCAGGTGTTTAAGATTGCTCTCAGCGAATGGGCAGGGTTTGGACCAAGTGAAAGGAGTGATGATCGCAGAGTGAAATGTTTGTTGTCCTGGTGTGTAGCTGAGATGAGCTCATCCTTCTCAATGTGATCTTTGGAGACACAAAATAATTGTTTTTTTCAATGGAGAGCATTTTTCACTTAACCACTGCAATGGATTTGCAGGGATTGTTATGTATAACCCTTTCCACTGCTATGCTTTTATGCAGCGTTGTGGCGGACATTGACTAAGTTTGGCTTTCTAGCATTTGAACACTCTCCTATTTGGAGGCTCTCCTTCCTTATTTAGGTCTTTGTGAGAAAGAAAGCTAAAATCTCCAACAGAAATAAAAGATGGGGTGACATCCTGTTTCCATGCTCCTTGCTGCTTGGGTAACCTAGACATGGCCAGGCAGATGTTCTAGGGGAGTCTGTGGAAATTTGCAGCATTGGTACCTTTCTGGGGGAGGTGGCACCAAGCCTGGAGGTCCCTCAGACATATAGTACAAGTTTGACTAGGTTGTGGGTAGCCAGGGTTCCTCTGCTTTGCTGCTGTCCTGAGAGTATTTTCCAGACATCACAGAACCTCTGTGATCTCCTGCTACCCAGTCTTACCTAGTCTAAAGAAGTAGAACCAGTAAGAAACATACATACATTTATCGTTTACTTATTTTAGGAGAATGGCTCAATTGACCGTGGAGGCTGGGGAGCTTCATGATCTTCCACCTGCAAGCTGAAGACTGAGCACAGCCAGGGGCATCGTCCATAGGTGGAGGGAAGATGGCAGGGACCACTTGAGGATAGAAGACCAATGTTCCTGTCAGGGGAGATGAAATCCTCTCTTCTCTATTTGTTTTGTTCAGGTCCCACCAACTTTATGATGCCTAGTCTCCTTGGGGAAGATGAACTGCTTGCTGTCATCTCAAGTGCTAATATAGTCCAGTGACCCATGCAGAAATACTGTTTAGCTTAATGTATGGGAACCTCATGATCCCATCAAGCTGACACATAGAAGTTCACCATCATGTATTTATTCCCACCAAATAAACCACAAATGGTTTCTAATACATGCAATCCCCTTTAAGAAATGCACTAGATTTTAAGTATATACTAGAACTGTAAAAATTAGTGTAAATGACAGTACAGCAACTTATCAAACAGAAAAATCATGTATAATCACACATCTTAATAGAATTATTATCACATTGGAAGTTTTTAAAATTTCTTTAACTACTACACATTTCCATTCTTATTTTGATGCCTCATCCAGCTCTATGGAGATTCCCACTGTGACCACAGCTCTTCCGGAGACTGCGGTTGGCCACGAGGACCTGACAGATGGGAGAGAAATGGGTTCCATCATGAAGAACCAGCATCAGATGTGCCCCACGTCTGCCACAGCCCTATTTAGCATTTTATTTCGCTAAATATCAGCCCACTTGAAGAAAAGTTCTGTCAGTAGATACAGGGCAATTGTGCATAGGAAATTTCTCATTTTGTACAAAGATGAAATGGAACGCCCTGAGATAAGGTGGGTTTCAAAGGGGAATTTGGTGGTGAAAGCTGTTGAAGATCTGCTCTGATGCTCATATTCAAATTGTTCATATCTAAATTACAGATGTAGATGTGAAGCCACCTGTGTCCAGCGTGGGAAGATGAGAAGTACATGGCAGAGTCCTTGTTCGAAGGTCTAACAGTCAAGCTGATTGTAACCAGACAGCCAAGAGGCATGAGGACTGTGAAATTTGGTGATAGTGAAGTCTGTGTACTACGTGGCTCTCAGGAAGGGCTTCTTGGACATGACAGCACTTCACATTTGCCAAGAAGGACGGGTAGGATTGCCTGGGTGAAGATAAACACAGGAGGCAATTTGAGGGTCCGTGTGAGCTAGATAGGGTGGCAGAGCTAGACCGCTGTTGCGGGGGACACTCTTACTGGTTGGTGGAGCTGCGCAATAATGAGAAACTGTATCAGCGGTTCTCAAACTTATGGTCCCTGCAACTCTTTACACTCATAAGAATTACTGAACACATCAATACTTTTCTGCTCATGTGGATAATTTCTGTTCATATTTACTGGATTAGAAATATAAAGATTAATGTTCATGAAAAAAATATGTTTTCCAAAATAAAAAAATTTTAGTGAGACAATTGGTGGTGGTGTTGAAAATCTTAACTGAAGACACATGGATTCTCTTATCCGCTGCTACATTTAATCTACTGCTGCAATATGGGAAGTTATTCCTGAAGAACACAACTTAGTTTTTCTCAGTTGAGCAGGGAAAGGTGGGCAGGGGGTGGGGCAGATTTTCTCAAATGGTTAAAAATCCCCTGCCAATGTCTTATAGGCCTGGAGTGATGCTCTCACTGTCCCTAGACTCCCCATGCATAAGACAGTCCCCAAGCCTGCCAGGGCTTGCTGGTGCTCTGCAAAGCCCTGGGTAAGATCCAGTGAGGGAAGATGTTTGGGGACAGGTGCAGGCCGTGGGGAGGAAGCACAGAAAGAGCTGTCTTCCTGGGGCACAAAATGCAGCCACCTAGAAGGGACGAATTAACCAGGAAGAATGCTCACACTGATTACACCTCCTCACCCCTGCATTTGCTGCCAGCTCACTGAAACTTTCCGTTTCAGAAAACCTATAATTTATGGAATTCCTTTGAAGACGCCCCTGTGAATAATGCATATCTCTGTCTCCTATCCATCAAATGATTTTGTCATTCCAAGTGGGTCTGACCAACATGAATAGTTGGAATCGACTCCTGCTGGACTTGAAGGAGGGTTGCCCCTCTGTTCATAATTACCGGATGGAAAGAGCTTTGCCCTGGGTCCACAAAAGGCTTTGGCTTGACATGCTGCCTTGCCTTCACCATACGCCGCAGTGCAGGCTAAAATAATGGTGCCTTTTGAAGTGATGGGAATTATATTCATTTCCACACAAGATACGTAGATTCAGTCGAACATATTCATTTTTCAAAGGCCATCCAGTAGCAAGGAACACACACCTGATCTTTAGGTGGGTGGTGCTGTCAAGGCCAAATAAGTGAGTCGAGGCCAATTAGCAGGTTGTGCCCGGGACTGACCTCCCCTGGGTCCCGGGGCCATCCCACTGTTGCCACCAAGGATCACGCTGCTAGAACCTTGGCCTCTAACCCTTGTCCTAATTTAGGAAGGTGAAGCTTAAAAGTGGAGCTATTTTTACCTTTGGGCACAATGACAGCCAGCACCACAGGGAGAAGGAGAGTGCTGGGCAGCAGAGCAGCACAGGCTGTGAGCGCTGCCTTTGTTTTCTGCCCCAGTGCCTCAACTACAGGAGTGCACACAGCCCCTCTGCTCCTCCCCAACCCCTACCTGCCCAGGTGTAGCCTACAGGAGCTGTGTCCACATGGTATGAGGTGCTCCTGTGACCAGCCTGCCATCTGCCCTGGCATCCATTGTACTAACTCCTAGGGGCAAAGAAATTCTGAGAAATCATGAGATTGGGCTCAGGGCTTGCTTAGTAGGGAATGGCTGTCTCTGAACTGGCACTGTCCTCCTACCTATGTCTCCCTAAAAACAAGACCTAGCTATAAATAATCAGCCTTGAAAAATAGAGATAAAAAATGCCAGCCCTAATCAGCCTGTCCTTGACTTACCCGCCATATGGAATAGCCACCGAGCAAGAGAATAATCACGGCAGGTAAGGCAAGGAGGTGCTAATTGAGGCCCGCATTTTTGATCTCTACTTTTCAAGGCTGATTATTTTTCTGGCTAGGTCTTATTTTAGGGGAAAGAGATTAGTTCAGCAGTCTGAAGGCCAAAGCAATGCTTCTCTATACCTCTTGTTCAGGAAAGAAGTGTGAGTGCACCTTTCTGAAGGAGCAAGGGTTTCCTGGGAGAGTGGGAAGCTGGGGGTCTGCTGCCTCCTATCAGGCTGTGTTCCAGGGTTGCTTCCTTGCAGAGTGGGTTGAAGACACCACAGGAGTATAAAGAGGGCAAGTAGGGGTCTGGGGCAGTGGGCACGGGGACAGGGCAGAGGGGAGCACAGGGTGTTTTGTTCTAGTTTTGATTTTCCCAGAAGCAGCGAAGCTGCATCAGGAGGACAGAGACATCTATGAGCACAATAGACGACATCCAAGTTGACCATACCAAATATTAGGTGATTCTCAAAATGTTAACCTACAGTGATCAGAGCTCAGATTTAGTGGATGGCCTGGGTCATTAACTGGGATGTCAAGGAAAAAGACATTGGCAAATGTAGAAACCCTTAGCTGGCCCGCGCTGCGGAGGGGGATGGAAGGTATTCCGGGAACGCAAGCTCACCTTCTCTACGCACCCCAGGCAGAAGAAGGTCCAGTCCTTTCATCTGCACTGGACCTTAATACACTTTCTTTTCTTTCCCTCAATTGTTAAATGGGAGACCAAATATTTTGTAGATCTTATTGTTATAAGGATCAAATATATCATATAAGTAACAGCTTTATTGTAACCACTAATATACCATTGAATAAATAAATCCTTTTTGAAAATAAGCAAAAAGACAATCAGAGGCTGGGTGGGAGGGGGTTGTGGTAGTGGGCCACATGCTCTGTGCTGTTCTGGAGGGGTTCTTGGAGGTACCACCAGTTCCATGGTCCATGCTCCAGTCCAGTTCTGGTACACCATTTTGATGGACTCCAGAGTTTGGGTCTCCACTTGCTCCTCTGGTAGATCTGTGATCTTGTTCAATTTCTTTTCTGTAAGTGGATATTGTTTCCCAAACTTATATTTGAATTGATGGTGAAATTTAAGCATTTATCTCTTACGATCTAGTCAGACGCATCAGTTTACTTTAGTGAGGGAAATTCACTCAGCTCCTCAGGTTTTGGAGCAGAGTAACTCTGATTTTCATAGTTATTCGGGTAATCACTCTCTGGGGACTTTTCCCTACTTGGCAGGAAATGGAGAGTGCTTTAAGTGGGGAATTGTGAAAAAAAGAAGAAAACAAAAGAAAAAGTTCAGGATATTTTGAACCTACAGTGCCTTACTTTACAGACTGAACAGCATTACGCACTTCTTTTCAAGGGAAGGGTGATTGTTTAAGCATGTTAGCTGAGAGACATGGTGAGTAAGGGGCAGGATCTTGTCGACAGCATGTGCAGCTGTCTTCTCCCAATGCTGGATGTGTGACAGTGCTAAATTATTCCATTTGACCAGAGCAACTGAGGGTAGTGATTCTGCCATGAATGAGTGATGTCTCGCCAGAGTCCCAGCTTCCCATGTGGTCAGCTCTGGTGGAAAGAGGATGACAGTAGGTGATGGTCTGATTGCTGGGTGCTGAGGTCACCTTATCAAGTCTGAGTGCCAGTTCTTTTGAACGATTGGAGTAAAAATACCAGTGTGAAGCAATAAACAAAGGAAAACCGATGGGTTGGCAGGATTGTCAGTTCATTTTCTTCAGCCGAAGCTTTGAACTCAGATGGTTGATGAGGTGCCTTCTCTTTCTTTTTCCAAAAGTATTTTCTGGAAGAAATGTCAAAAGATCCTAGCCGAAGAGGTATGTGAAGACAGGCCCTGGGTAGCAGGTGAAGCTCTACGGCCTCCTGGTCCACCGAATGCACTAGCCCATGCTGGGAGGAGACCTTGATGTTGCTATCAGGCAGGTGTGGGAGGACGTCGCTTGTGACACCAGTTAGCCCTGTGCATGCAGTGGTCTGCCTTTTTTCTCTTTGCTTTTTAAAAAACTATTAGTCTGAGATGACATGAGAAGGGCCTATGGGGCATGGGAAGAGGAGATAATTACCGGGCTTGAGTGGAAAGGGGACCTCTTCTATCTATCAAACTAATAGACACTGGGTATGATAGGCACAGTGGGCTTATACAGTCCACATTCCAGGTAGATACAAATAGCCAGACATGGAGGCCAAGCTGCCTGCAGAATTAGGGCATGCTGGGTGTTCCTGGCTTCAGTGTGTGGGTGCTACCTTAATGCACAGTGGAAGTAGGAATAATCAAATCTTTCAACTGTGTCCAATTTCTCTGAAGAAGAGACTGCCAGAGGCAAAACCCTACCAGTTTCTGGAAAAGCAGCTGAGTGTGTACTGAGGGTCCTTGTCACTAGGAAGGGAGGGGAGACACTGAGCCTGTCACTTGCTCTGCAGGCTGGGGCTGTGTCAGTGTGAACAAGGAGAAATAAGCCTATTAGCACTGAGAAGTTGGACATGACCTGTTCCTACTAAGCTATCCTACAACTGGACTCTGCTGAATTGACGAGAAGTTTGGCATTTGGAAGAGAGGCTATTGCTAGTGAATAATTGAGTTAATTACCCTTTTACTTTGCTACTTGAGTGTGGCTAGATCTTTGTGTTTAAATGCTTAAGGTTTGATTTTTCTAGATAATATAAAGTTGGACTAGAATGGTGATTGTGTAAGATCCTTTAAACTCAAGGACTACATGCATAAATTGGCTCCTTTAATAGACATACAATTTGAACACTGCTCTAATTCATTTATGTAGCTTTTCCAATTTCTGTATTCCTAACTCAGTGCTTTCCCCTTCATGTTAGAATCATGCACATGTAACATACTCTTCCATATGGGTCACATGCCACTTCTGTTTTAAGGAAATGTAAAACATTTTATTATAAAGATGAGCAAATGAACTATATTGAAAGAAAAAGTGAATTAATATAAAGATTCAAGAATTATATCATGATAAATTATATCATCTGTGAAAAATTTATCTCTTGGTAAGATTTCAGCTTCTTGTACTAGTTTCTGTTTTCTCTGATTTTATTTTGTGACACTGTAATTTTTGATTATCATTTCATAGTACCTGGTTTTACTGTTTATTTTCAGGTTGATACTTAGTTTGGGTGTTCCTTTTGTCATATGATGTCATCATGCCATTCTCCTATTGGAATCCTTTAAAAAAAATCTTTTTTTCCTTTTAAAAAGTAAGAAATCAATTTATACATGTGACATATGAGGCAAAATAAAAGCCATTTAATTTTTTTTCTCATCTCTTTCTCCTTGTTTTATTCACATCCATGAGCATATTTTCATCTTTCCTTTAATGAATTCTCATGCTGTTGTACAATCAACTTCTCTAATTATATCACTTTTAGAAAGTCACCTTTATTGTTGAAAAATGTTAATGACTCCCTATTACCTCATTAACTCTGAACTACCTTCC